GTGTGTGTGTGTGTGTGTGTGTATATGTATATAAATGGTATAGCCGTTGCCAATTCTGTCAGACATAAACTATTTTTCAAAACTTAGTTGGTTTTGTAGGTAAGATGGTAATTTTTCTTTATCTATTTGACACAAAATATGACTTCAAAATAGCTACAAAAAACATTTAAAGCAAACATATCAATCAATCAATAAGCTGTTGGTAGAAGTTGGTATCCGGCACTTCACCTATAAGTTAGCAATAGGACAAATTGATAAGTAGACCAAACCAAACTTTATGCTATGCATTGGACATCAATTATTTTCTTTTTTCACAGGCAAAACTTAAAAAACCCTCACATTGGCTTTGCCTGTTTAATCATAAAACTCTTAAATCCAACTGTTTGTCAGCTGTTTGGTGAACCGGTCAGAGTTATAGGAAGAGCTCAGATTAAACTGACTAATAGAAGAGTTTGTCTTTGTCCCGTTTCCAGTCTTCTTGACCTGTACCTCTGTGCTCCAGGTAATGTGTTATCTGGTCATACTTGTAGGTCTTTTGTACCGCCGTTTCTTTGTAACATAATCTCGACAACTGGTGCACATCTTGCTTTGATATTTTCTATTTTCATACAGAAATATGTACAGGTGTTTTTGTAAGCGAGGCATCTACACCAACCCCCACCTTTTATTTTGGTGCATGTAATGCATAATAAGTCACAGAGAAGATGTATTTGAATATACTTGCATTTGGTACAATATAGTCTATCCAATAAACGAGTGATATATTTCTTACATGTATATTTTCTTTGCAAAAGTTATGCTGCATATTTAAATCAGAACAAGGTATTTTTAGATAATTGTGAAGAGAGAGAGAGCTTTTGTTTTTGAAGCACAGTATTTGATCTGATCCTCATGAGGGATCAGATGGACAAATATGTGCCATTGTATCGCACTGCAGACTGTTCATTAATAAAAGTCTTTGCATGAAACCTTGTGAATGTGGTTTTAATATGTATATATTAGGGCTGTCCTGATACAGATACTGGTATCAGTACTGAGGCCGATACCAGCATTTTTTACAAGTACTCATACTCTTAAAATGCCCGCATACTCAGAACAATGCCAATACCAGTACTTACACTCACCGGCCACTTTATTAGGTACACCACGCTAGTAACGGGTTGGACCCCCTTTTGCCTTCAGAACTGCCTCAATTCTTCGTGGCATAGAT